GCTGATGGATGTCAAAATGGATTAACCATTTTTTTGCCTAAGATGAGGACAAATTAGTGCATTCTGTTAACAAAAGCTAGCCTGATTGGCAGTTGTCTTCAACACTAGTCATGGGTTAATCCCCATTGCCCTAACTGAAGTTAGTTGAGGAAGTATAGATAGACTTTCTTCCAACACTTTGCTGCTCCTTCCCAGCATTCTGCCTAAGAGCAAAGCCAACTCTGTATCATCCCAGCCAATAACTTCACCTATGGAGCAATCAAGAGCTTCTACACCAATGTTGAGTTGAAACTTCTGTTTGCGATAACTCAACAAATCTCCCCTTCAGTTCTTATTTCCACTGTCACTGACATCAGTTGCAACCTCCTTCCCAACCTGGTGACCTTTACACATGCTGGATTACAATTACTGTCACCCATAGACAGCATGGATATAGATTTTGCCCTTCTGGACCAGATATCATCTATTTTCTATAGCCACAAAGCTTCAATATTTGGAAGGGAAAGGTCTCTTTCTCCCACCCTCCCTCACAAATGAGATTTGATGAAGTATAGCCCCATTCTTAAGGTGTAGTAAGATCCACACATGGAAGAAATTGATGGAGAGAAGTCCAGACAGATCTCTGAGGGCCATCTGGTATGGGAACACACCCTACAATTATATGACTGCATGGAGGGATACACACCTTTCCAATAAAGCTCAATTGGCCTAAAACACTCCTAAATACATCCCCAAATATGGACAGAGCCAAACAGGACTCAGTTGATTTCGGCTGACTCACTCCTGACAGTCACATGGTAGACTTTGATGCAGTCCTTGGCTTCTGAGAAATGAGAATTTGTTTGCATCCCCTTCGTTTGTTTCCCTTTTTTTTTTTTTCCTTTCTGAGAACATTGGCATGACTGATATCTTGCTTTCTTCTCCACTGGGTGTTTTTCCCCCCTTTATTCCACCATGGCTCCAAGTATAGTCATAAATACCAATGGCCTCACCTTGATCTGGGATCTGTCCCATGCCTCTTGTAGTGCAGCTGCAGTGTGTCGCAGCAGAAGGTATATCAGGAAGGCATTTTTGTTAACTGAGGTCTAAATAGATGATTCAAGAATGCTTCTGAGAGGTGGAAGAAAGCTAGAAGCAGGGGCATCCACAAGGGGTGTGTGAGGGTGTCAAGAGTGTCAATATGGTGGGTGTGACTAGGGCAACCAAAGCCATGCCTCTTTCTGAATGCATGAGAAATTGGTAGAAGCTTATGCCCCATAAGTTGTGAAGAGGGGGGCCCTAGAAATGTGTGGAATTGAATCTACTCAATGGTCATAGACTGCTCAGTGGCTACCTGGGCAACTCAACGTGAAGGAATGGAATAGAGCATGCCAAGAAAAAGCTTGCTTGCCTAGAGTTCTCAATAGAAGAACTCTCTGTGATGTTTTGGGGCCATTGTTTTGGACAGAGTGATCCAGAATGAAAAGCTGTCACTCTGCTTACACAACCCAAGTGCTTGGTCTTCAACCCACTCAATTTCCTCCTCTGCTTGAAAGTGGCAGAATAGGAGGACTCCTTTGCTTTTCTCAGCAAGGACTGGGAATGCCCTGAAGGGAACTACTACTGCCTGCCAGTAGGAGTCAAGGAAAGTGTCTGCAGGATGCCAACGTCAGGAAGGGCCCTTATGGAGCTGGGGAATAGAAGCACCTGGCTGGAGAGGAACCGAGCTAGTGGAAGGCTTTAGAAGGGCAATTTGGTCCCCCAAATAGCTGTAAGTCAACATGTAGGAATTATTTTTCTGTGCAAAATACCCTGATAAGGATGGGGGGGGGGGAGAGAGTCACTCCCAGACAACTTCTGCTCCTTCTCTTTGGGGTGTGTTTGGTAGACTGAACTGTGATCTTGTGGCATAGAAGTTGGCAATATCTAAACCTGGCTATCTTTAAAAAGCTAAGCCGGTTTGGACCTGAACACCATTTGGATGGGAAACTGCCAGGGAATAAAAAGGCTGTAGGCTTGAAGAAGTCAATGCAACCCTCTTCCATAGCATTGTCAAGAAAACCTCAGAAAGTGCCCAATATCAATATCTTGACTAGAGGGAATTTTTATTGTATCATTGTTATTTAGCAAATTCAGCAATAGAGAAACTCAGCCAAAGATTAAGTAGGACCACTAGTCTCTTGGGGAACTTTTAATTCAGTTAAGTGCAGCCAGGACCAAATTTTGCCAGCAAGGTGAGCATCCTGTTCTTGCAATCTGATACTTACAGGGCATCATCAGCTTCACGTAGTACCCAAAAGGATAAAAAAGAAATTCTCTCCAAAAATGAGTATTGTGTAGAAGATGTGATCCAAAAGCGGGCATGAGGTTGCAAGCAATAAGCCTGCGAAAATCAGGCCACATCCGATTTGATTAAAAAATCAATTTGATTCAAATCAGTGTTGAGACTCAATCCAGTTCAGATATTCAAACTGAATTAATCAATTCGAAGAGAATTTTCAAATTGATTTGGAAAAAAAAAACCCCAAAAAACAGAAAGGAAAGAAAAAAGATATAATGAAGTAGCTTCCAATATTCTTCCCAGCAGTTATAAGCACAATTATATTTTAACCTCTCTCTCTAAAATTACATCATAATGCTGTTCTTTCTGTAATCTATCCTGTCTAATCATCAAAACCATAAATCAAGTTCATTTTTTCATTTTTACTCAAAAAATCCATAAGAGGTTTCCAGTCATCAATAAATGTCGATAGTGTCTTTTCTCCAATCAAAGAAGTCAATTGATCCATTTCAGCAAAGTCTGTCAACTTCACCAACCGTTCTTCCACAGTGAATGCTGCCCTTTGGAGTAGAGCTGCGTGTGTTGAATTTGGGTCAATGAGCGCTAATGATACAGCAGGGAACGGAGCAAGCAAGATGGGGGGAGCACTCTTCCCCCCACCAAAGCATCTCATGCTCCTTATAATCCATGTGCATAGCTAAAACATTCATAATCCTTCTGTCCATTGTGGAATGTTCCCTGTGAACATTATGTGAATTATGGAGGACATGCACATTCTTTTGGTTGGGCCGGATTCAATGATGGAGTTAGTTCTCTCCAAAGGGACTAAGAAGGCAGGGCACACCCAATCCAAACTCATACTGGGACCAGAAAGTCTCTATCTTAAGTGAATACCAAGAGAACACACAGAAGTAACTTAACTACCATCTTTAGGTTGATGAGACAGGACTCACCCAACTCTAGAGTCAAGAATAGGACTGGTTGTCTACTTGCCTGCAGGTTCCAATCATTGGACTACACAATCTTCCAAGAATCTGGAAGGGAGCTTAGTTCCCCCTTCCCCACTGGCTGTCTTTACTCAGTTACTGAATTAGCTGTGTTCACACAATACAGTGAACCATACACTAACAAAAGAGGATGATATTGTTCAGTAAGCTAAGATGGGGAAAAACACTAATCAGGTTCAGCATGGTGTTTGTTAGGGCTCCCAATACAGTGGGGTCATGCCTTTTTTATCCTCAGATCAAGGCTTCTAAATCCAGGTTGCAAAGATCCAAATGAATACAAGATCACAACAAAGGGGTTTCTGGATCTCTTTGCTGCCCTCTAATGGCTGCCTGGATTTTTGCAAGCCAGATCTGATAAACATACCCAAATGGCAGAACATCTGTCCTGTCAGTTTGTAGGAATCACAATCAGCAGGGGATCCAAGAAGTATGGGATTATGTGCAAATCTGAGTCACCCCAGCTTTCAAGTCCACCTCTGCTTTAAGATGATATCAAATGTTATTTCTGCAACTGACTAACACGCTCACCCTTCTGGAAACTTATCTAGCAAGGGGGTGTTTTTATTGGTCCTTCACCAGAACAGAGGCATCAATTAAAGAAGGGCAAACTGACTGAATCATCACTAAAGCCATCATAGATTTCCTGGTGCCTCCAAACATAGTGATGACCCTTCCTTATCGGAGCAATTGCACAGATAAAATATTTAGGGCAGTCTTTATGTGACGTGCACACACAACAGGGGTGTGCAGCACCTTCAAGCTGAAGGCAAAAGGTGCTTTGGTGTGCCTGGAGCTGCTCACATCAGACTTCTCAACAGCTCCTTAAAGCAGCTACATCTTTCCTGGGATTGCAAGACTTGGCTGTGCTATAATGACAACCTGGAAACTGCTGGGTTTGGTTTCAGGAGATTATTTATTTCAGGGACTCTCTGCTGCTCCCATCAAATTGACTCTAATCAGCTTAGAAAAGGTAGACAAAGTTGGAGTTCTGTCCCACGTGTGCACCCCGTGTGTTCCAACACACTTTTTTTTTAACCTTTAAATTCAAGGTGCTACACAGCCTGGTTTAAGAACCAGGGTGATGTAAGAGCCAGACTGCTGGGACACTGTCCATCATCAGCTATTCCAAAGTCCTTGAAAAAAGGATGAGATAAAACAGTATTGCATTGCAACATACTGAACCTGGTATCATTTTTCGGGGTTTGCTCAACACGTTGAACCAGAAACTAACCCCATGGCTGGGTTTACATAAGACACTACACCAACCCAAATCCAAGATTAAAACTAACCAAGCTTTGCCTGTTACGTCAGGGTTCCTCAACCTCAGCAACTCTAAGATGGGTGGACTTCAACTCCTAGAATTCCCCAGCCAGCCGGCAATTCTGGGAGTTGAAGTCCACTCATCTTAAAGTTGCTGAGGTTGAGGAACCCTATGTTACGTGAATGAGGTTGCTAGCTTTGCAACAGACCTATCTCAGCATTCTTTGTGAAGGCCATCTGCTTGCAAGCATTCTTTCCAGACTGACTTCTTTTTTCCTTTCTCTTCCTTCGCATTCTCCCATTCTCTGCCTGGTTGTTCTCTCCTCTCTCTCTTTCTCCTCCCTCTCATTTCAACCAGCTAGGTTGGATTCCTGAACCTTGATGTGCTCATCTTCCCATTTATCCTTTGGGATGATTTCAAGGACTCCTGCAGAATCCCAGCTGTGACTCATCCTGATACCGGGTGGATCTCATCCTGTGCATCCTCTGGGATGACTGCTCACGTGCCAGGCCGTGTTAATGAAACTGTCCTTTTCCACCCATTGGGACAGAGGAGGATCCTAGTCTGAGACCAATGGAAACCCAAAGAGGCATTTGGTTTTGGGCAGGTCCATATAGAAGGGAAGGCTTGGCAAAGAGTATTTAGAAGCTTATGAGAGGCAATGACAGGTAGCTGGCCACATCCAGGGAACAGGATACAAAGGGGGAAGTTAGAGGCATCTCAAGATGGCCAAGATCCTGATAATGCTATTGCTGCTCACCCTCCTCAGCCAAGGTAAAACAAGACTGGGTGCCTCGATAGACTACTTTTACGGTTGTTGTTACTGATATTCAAAGATGAATCTCAACTCTAACACTCTAATTTTGTTCAATTTATCAGAATTTTTCTGCTTTCCCTGGAAGTTCTTCAGCTCTTTTGCTTGTGGAAGAATCTTTATTCTTGTTTTGGATTTTGCTTTAGGAAAAAATGTCATGCAGCTCTCCTCTGGAGAACTTTCTCTTCACCAGATCTCCTCTGGCCTTTCTTAGATTACATTTAACTGTTCTATGCGGTAGGCGCCTTAGAATTCGTTTTACATTTTCACTGCAGTGAAATTTCACTAGCATCTCTAACTTTTCCATCAGCTCTAATTTCTAACACATTAAGAGTGTTAGAAGTAAATGTCTTGCTTCAGAATGGACTTTACCTTCAAGGGACAAAGTAAGATTGTTGACATAGGCCATGTTCTCCAACCTCCATACATAGACTTCAACTGCTCACAGCACGTAGATTGTAGATTGCGATCCAGTCCTGTTTACCTGGAATTAGAACCTGGTAAGAGTTTATTGGGCAAAGCAAAATTAACAAGTTTAATGGATCATTGCATTTTAACAATAGTTGGCCCCACTTCAGACTGTTCCACCACCCATCGGCAGTAACCAACCCATTGTACCTGGAAGCTTAGAAGAAGCTTGATAAACCTCCTTGATGGATTGTTTGCATCCAGTTGTAATAACAGGAAAATCACTGAGCCCATGTAAGCTGTAATAATTAAGCAGTGATATCTGCAACAAGTTTGACAGGTTTGAAAGGAAACATTCACTGAATATTAAGCTTTGTCCTATTTAATCAGTGGGCAGATACTGTGTCCTCCCTGAAAATAAACAACCCCTATCTTTATCTTTCTTATGCTGGAACAGGTGAAAAAATAAACTGAGTTTCTTCTTCCAGTCTGTGTGCAAAATTAGCAGGTCATTTGGAAAGTGACCGAGAGCAAAGACAGTTATATTCCTTTAGAAAGAGTTTCAAGATATTTTTGTTCAGGGTGGTTGTAATGTATAAATAACTTGATATGTAAATATTTGCTTAATGTTTCAAAAGCCAGTGACTGATTTTTAAAAAGCTAAGTAAGGATTGGCTGAGTTTCAGAATACTTAATGTGGCCTGAATAAAAGGCGTAGAACATCTCTGATGCTATCACAAATAATAGGATTTATTGCTGGCTGCTCAGCCATTGATGTCCAACAGGAATTATTTCTGCATCAATGTATGTCAGATTTCGGCCCGGATGCCTCTGTTCCCTAGCTTGTGACTATTCCCCACTGAACTCAGCGGGACTTACTTGTGAGAAAACATGCCTTGGCTTATTTATAATGGAAATGTGCTTTTGTTATAGATGTGTCTTCCTGTATTTGCATGCTGGTGGCCAGCACTGGCGGCTGAATAGGAAAATGATGTGGGAACAGTTACTTCCTGGTCAGCATCAGGGACTAACAAGTATAAAAAATAGCAAGTCGAGATGATGCTCCATGAGGCCACCAGTCTGGTAAAAAAGTTGGCAATCTCTGGCCCTGTGCATCTTTAAGCAAAAGTGAACATAGGTTGGGTGGCGCATCAGGCAGAGCCATTGTGCGTTTCATCTACTTGTGGCTTAGCAAGTTCTGCGAGATTTCCTGCTGTTTTCTTGTCCCCTCCTCTCTGTATTTAATAAGATTAGATTCACACATTGCACTAACCTGGCTTTATTAGTTTGGATTAATGCATTATAGAAATCCAGGATTGCAGAAGCTGGTTTATGGCTTAGCAAGTTGCATAAACCCTGCCGATTATGAGTTAGTCAATGAACGATGTTCACTGGAAACATAGTTCAGTGCAAGATGTCTCCTGTACCATGAGAACAGGGATAGGTTTATTCACAATAATAAACTGGTCTAAGAGTGAAGTTGATGAGACGTGTTTCCACTTGCCTATAGTAGATAATAGCATAACCCGACTCCACCCTACAAAAGGCTACCTTAGATTTCATGTAAACATCACTTAGTGTTTCCTCCTCCTCTTCCGAAGACATGGAAGATGCAAAACAACTAAGAACAAAACCAGACTTTCTTCTTGGTTCTACATACCCCAAAAGACTCTTAAAACCCTGGCTTTAGATTTAATAGCACCCCTCTCAAAAGGAAGTTTCTAGTCCTCAATGTTCTCTGCCACGTAATTGCAGAGGCAGCACAGTTAGGTAGGGTGACGAATATGGAAAAGCTGAAAAGACGAAAGTAAGGATGAGTCCACCTTCAAGTTTCCAGCTCCTGAAACTGTGTGTTAAAGTTCTGTTAATAGCAGCTGGGTTTTCTGAAATCCTTTTGTTGCATGGTTTACAGTGGGTTGCAAACCAGGCAAAGCAGAGGCATAGAAATTATGTTCACAGGGGGCAGATTTAAAAATACATTCCTAATAGGGTCAGCATTTATTGTGTTCTTTCTAATCTAATCCATGCTATTTCTTTCTTTGTAGCTTTAAATAAGTGCACAACAGAGACCCCCAACCGTCCCCTCCTTTCAGTTGCATCTGTTCCTGTGCTCAGTTAAAGATGGGGATATCCTCCAAGTTGGGTGGGCTATAAAAACCTTAAGGAAAGAAAGAATGGCAATCTTAGAGCTACAGTATGTAATTTACCTTCCTTTCTTCCCAGTGTTTTGCCTGCAGTGTAATACGTGCCACGGGGAATACAACTGTGTTGGAGAGAACGTGACCTGCGATGATCCCTCAGCCAGCTGCACAACATCAGTTCGAAAGGCCTATGTCTGTAAGTGTCATTTGTACCCAGCGAGGTCTGCAGGGTATGGTCCAAAAAGTCAGGATGGCAGCCAAAATGGAACAATCAGAGCTCTGCCCAGTTTTCAAAAGAGGCTGAGCTTCAATCACACGGTTACAGCTACCATCTTAACTTTTTGGACCATGCCTTGCAAATGCCCCTATCTGTACCGATGCGTATAGCAATTTTCTTGTCTTCTGCGAGGAAGCCAGACCATGGATGGTTTGAACATACGAAAATAAGGGGCAGCTGTGTTGGCAAAGTCAACTTCCTGGGATCCATTGTTGCAAAAGGCCGTAGCAACATACGCATGATCTGAGAGGTGTCCCAAAGTCTAATGGTAGTACATCTATCCCTGCTCTTTGTATTTCCTGGGGTGAGGGCAGGGGAAGCAAAGAAAAAAGGGAAGGGGTATTCATTCGGTTTTTCAAAGCCACACACGGGAAGAGACCTCAAGAGAGTTCTGTTTGTCAAAATAAAACAGGGAAAACCAACTAGTCCTGTTCACATTGTGGGAAGGGAGGAGGAAGCAGTGGGAAAACAGGATACCTAGAGAATATACCCTGCCACACACACACCACATCTTGTCCATCCTGGCCGTGTCACTGATGGTCCAGCCTGAAGAATCTTCCCATCTCCTCCTTTTCTCCAGCCTTTCTGGAATTCCAGTCCGTGAGGAAAGGCTGCGCTCGCCAGTTCTATCCCTCTGAATCTATTTCCCTGACTTCACATCTCATGTCTCTTTCGTACCAAGCACACTATTGCATGGAGGATGGCTGTAACAACGAGACCTACTTTGGTGAGTCCTGAAGGGAAGCCCCCTTCAGGTTGGGCCAGGAGGGGGTCCCATTCCAGCAAAAGAAGGACAGAGGATGTTGGGGGGAAACGTGTCTCTTCTAAAGGATGCAACCGTCGCTGGAGGAAGGGGGACTGTAGAAGGCGAAATGGCTTCAGAAATAATTCTCATTCATTTCAGATGCTTTGGACTACAACTCCCCAAATTCCCAGCCAGCTGGCTAGGAATTCTGGGGATTGAAGTTCAGCACAAAGAGCATTCCATTGGGAAAGGCCGCACAGGCATGTCGTACAAATCACGATAAGGTGAAAATGACAACCTAGGTGGTGTGAAGTTGCTTTTAAGGCTGTAGAAGCCAATCAAATATGGACAGTCTCGTGAGCACCCAACAAGATCTTGCTGCTTTTTTCTATTTTTTTTTTAAGGGGGGGAATGTTGCACCGCAAGCTTTTGGGGGTATGTGCAATGTTGCCTTGCACATTAGAAAAGGGGTAAGGCTTACCTATGATGCCACAATGCTGCTTTCCTTAAACTGACACTTCCCCTATGCTCCCCACCCCACAGATGCCATTGGCTAATCTTCAAACTGCTGCTGAGGGTTTGGGGAGCAAAACCCTGCACCACATGGAAATGCCTGTAGCTCAAATGCCTCAGAAGTCATTTATTTCAAGACCTGATGAAAGCGACTAACTTTATTTTTTTTAAAAAAGAGAGGGGAAAGGACAGGACAAATGAACTGAGGGCGAGTCAGATGGCAAGATCTTGCCTCCTTTTGCTGGGATCAGAAACTAAGCAGGGTTGGGTCTGATTTGTACTTGGAAGGGGAGCCACCTAGTGATACCAGGGCTGTAGACGTGACTGGGAAATTGAAAAAGCTCCCAGAAGATGGTAATGGCAAACTATTTTTGAACATGTATTAACCAGGAACCAAGGTAGACCCATCTATAACTTAAATCACAGAATGGTAGAGCTGGAGTGGAGTTTTGAGGTTACCTGGCCCATGTTCTCCCCTCCAAATGCATGCTGATTCCTACCCTCTTGTGCATCTTCCCCCAGTCTCTCATCCTGCCCCAACCAATCACATGCGCTGTCACACCTGTGCCTCCCAGGGAGCCTGGTGTCCTGAAGCTTCTCGCACTCAGCTCAGCTGTGTTGGGAATCAGGACCAATGTGTGGATCTTGACATCACAGGGAAGCTGGGTAAGTAGCAGGAGAGCTATCTGGGAAAGAGAAGGAAAGGGGTAGGTAGGTTGGAGAGGGGGGTGAAGACCAATGGAAGAATTGCACCAATGTGCTTAACTTGATTATTGGAATAATCTATTTTTCTGGAGTGGGGGGAGTGCACATTCTACTGAACCATACCTAACCAAAAAGCCTGGGTTCAGACAACATGCTAAGACCCCAAAAAATGAACTAAGGTTCAAACTAACCAAGCTTAGCACGATACACAAATGCAGCTTCTAAGTTTGTAACTGACCTGTGAAAGGTCTTAGGGAAACACAGCTGGTGGGAATGGAGCATATGCAAACCAGATTCAGAGTGGCATACATAAAGGAAAAACAAGATACTGGTGTTGGTCCACAAAAAGATTTCTTAACATCGTTGTGGCCAAAACCCATCTTATGAATGCAGCATACATGTGTATGGGTCGGAGGGATCTTTTACCACCACAACATCCAACTTCTGTCCCTGGATGATACCTTTACTAGGTCCAACAAAGAGTGTGCAACCTTTGCTAAACTCTCCAGAAGGATTTCTTAGGCAGGATGCTACCAGAAGCAGAGGATGGGGACCATAAAGAAAAGAGGCCAAGCTATGAGATCTGGGTGATCATTCATGCAGCTAGATTGAAAGGCCATCACTTGGGACCTCCCAGTGGTGAGGTATGCCTTACTGAACTATGGTCCCATGTCTCTGGGTTAGAGGCAAGCAGCAGGTGAGGAAGGAGGAACAATGCTCAACATCTTAGGTGTAATAGACCACTCCTCCCTTATAGGTCATTATTCCAACCTCAAGCTGAAAGGCTGTACCAATCTCCCCCGGTGTGAGGATACCCTGAGCTTTTACTCAGGAGGCCAGACCATCCATGCCAGCTGCTGTGATACTCCACTTTGCAACACCTTCACCCCAGGTAATCCTCTCCCTCCATTGCACGTGATGTGTAGGACTGCATCATTTTGAAGTCTGCAGGTAGCTTCAGGATGCATTCAGCATGGCAACCCATTTCTCCACCCCAATCTTCAACCCAAATGGGGAGGGTGAGGGTGAAATTTTACAGTTCCTCAGCTGGTTTCTTAGCTGACCTAGCAGCCATACTAGGTCCTAGCTGACTATCAGATAAGGAATGGGGAGCCCATTATCTGAGGCTGCATGCGGGCTACTCCATGGCTGGTTTCTGGGTGACTTTAAAGCACATATAGATACCTGATTTTTAGCCTGAAAGAGTCCTGGAAAACCAGACGATTCAAGCATGTGTTCTTGGGGTTCCATGGTTCCTCTTATGGCCAGCTGTGATGGAAATGGGCTGTGGAGGATGGGCCAAATGGGTTCCCCATAGCAACTGTCTCTGTGGAAGTCTGTTCTTCTTCGCGGGCCAAGGGTTTCCCTGGCCCCATAGGTGAGAGCAATAGCAAATGGGGATGGTAAGTCGTCCTTCTCCACTGCTTCTCTTCTTCATGGGACAGTTCTTTCCACTGGCTTCAGTCAGGAAGAACTCCACTCAGCCATCTGGCTACAACAGTGGCAGGCAGAGTTGGAAGATCACGGTGGTCAGCCTCCTCTTTGCTTCTTTATTTCCTCTTGCAAACAACCCAGTGCTTCTCAGACAGAAGAAAACTGGCAAAGGTGGGAGAGGACTAATCTCATAAGTGACTAGGTTTCAAAATGTAGCATGGGTTGCATCTGATCTGTGCATGAAAGAGAATTCTGGGGGGGCTTCTATGGGCCTTCTGCTGTGGAAAGAGACCCCCTCTGCACTCTGTTATGCGTGTGAACCAATAACTCCTGGTTTGACTGTTTCGGTTAACAGCTTGAATTTCAAGGTCATGATCATGACCCACAAATGTTTCAAAGATGTTTCCTGCTTTGCACCCCCACCCCCACCCCTTTTCAGATTTGCATGCGCAAAGCCAGGCAGCAAACGGATTGGAGTGCTATAGCTGTGTGGATGAAGAGGGCTCTGGTGCTGGTTGCACCAACCAAACCATCTCTAAAGTGCAGTGCACTGGCATCAATAGCATGTGTCTGGAAGGGATTGGCAACAGTCGTAAAGGTGAGTGTTTCATTTTAGAACTTTCCAGTCTGGCTTATATAATGTGCTAAACCTGGATTAATAAAGGATCCTACCTCACATAACATGCTTTGTCCAAACCAAAACCAAGAATGCCTGATTCAACATGCTCGGGCAATGGCTGGGTTTCCACAACTCAACCACAAACTACCCTACCCCACTGGAGGCGAGGCTAATGTGGTGTGCCAATCCTGAAGTATTTCTATTAAGTCTACAGGACCTCAGCCCATACTGGTTAGACTCTGTTTTCCAGCAGCTGGAAGGTGGGTGGAGTTTGCAAATTGGAAGGCATTCTCCTCATGGGCCAACATACATGAAACTATGCTGAGAGCTAAAATAGATGGTGATTCTTAGTTCCCCAGCCTAGTTTTCTCTCTCCTTCTCTGTCCACCTTGCCACACCATCACCTGCAAATCCAGCGACAGCTGAGTCCTGGTGGTCAATGTAACTGAGGATCAGGGAATGGTCCTAGTCCATGGACCTGCTCTTTCAGGACTGCCATCCCACAGTCTGAACCTCAATCCTTGAGTCCAGAATCCTGTTTACCAACAGCACCCGTATCTTGTTTAGACTTTATTTCAACTGGCCTTTATTCATCCAGTGTTATCCAATACATTCAGAGACACCAGTTGCTGGATGGTAAGGAGCAGAAGAGCTAGGTTTCATCAGCATTCGCATGTACCTCATTCCAAAGCTCTGGATGGCCATTCTCAGATGTTGAACTGCATGGAGAGGGGGGCAGGATGGTACCCTGTGTGATACCACAAATCAATAGCCTAAGAATCAAACAGTAAGAAGCAGGTAAGAAGAAGCAGAACTACTGCAAAATAGTACCGTCACGGCCCAATTCTACCAGCCTGTGCAGAAGGAGATGATGGTTGATGGCATCCAAAATTACCAAAAGGCCCAAGAGAATGAGAAGAGCCACGCTCCCCACCCCCATCCAGTTCCCAGTATTTATTTATTTATTACATTTATATAGGTCATCACTCAGGGAGATGAAGGCAGTTTCTGTTCCATATCTTGGCCAAAAGCCCAGCTGAAATGGGTCCAGCTTGTTGTGCAAACCCAAAAGAGGAGTCTGAAATCCTGAACTCTAAGCTACAGGTTCAGATCGGGGACTGGGCCGTCTGACCAGCACTGGCTTCAGAAGGCAGCATAGGCTGGGAGAAATGCCACTGCTTCTGTACTAGCAGCTGGTGGAACAGGACCTATGTATACTCTTGCCTACATTCTAGTTACACTCAGACAATTTACCCGCAGAATCATTGGGGGCGGGAGGACAACTTTAACCACGAAGTCTTTTTGCTTCCTCTTTAGAATGGCAGTGGAATAGAGAATCACAAAGATTCCATATTTGGATGGAAATGGTCATAAGATGGACTGGACCTTAGATGGCCTGTGACTCAGGAATGGGGACACATCCCATCTCCTGGTGGGCCCATAGGCCAATTCTCCCATGTCTAATCAACTCTTGGATGAATAATGTCTGCTCTTCTCCCTCACCCTTTTTCTCTCCTTGCAGCTGGGAAAGATGTGAGCTTCGTGACTTTCAAAGGCTGTGCTTCTCCTGCCATGTGCCAAAGCTCTCTTTTAGCCTTAGTGCAAGAACTGGACAATGCTGATATCATATGCTGCCAAGGGAATCTCTGCAACGACCGCATTGTAGATGGTGTCATCACAATACCCAGAGTCCCTGCTGATAGCCCTGAATACTTTGAGGAAGTAGAATGTGCCACGCCCAGCCCCACACCATCTGGGCTCATACCAGATCCTGATTGCTTCTATTCAGATGAGGCGGAAGATGGTACCATGGTGGTAGTACAGTCACCTACTGGTGAGGTCCCATCTCCTGGAAACCACACTGATGGGGAGACTGTATACCTTGCTGATGAAAAGGAAGCTAGTGAGAATTTTGTTAATGAGAGTGACACCCGGCCATCTTCCCAACATGACCATGTATTTGCAGGTGGAAATCCATATGAGGAGAATATTTTTGGAAATTCTTCTGAAAGCAATGCATCCTCCCCTACAGGTGTTTCATACTCTGAGCATGGTTCTTCAGGCAGTTCCTCAGCTATAACAACCTTGGACACAAGCAATTCAAGTAGCAGCCCCCCCTCTTCTGGCAATTATGGTGGTGTTGCTGTGCTGATACCATTCATTATTCCCAAGAGAAACACTACTAACACTGCTACCACTTCCTCCTCCATTGAGACAGGTGCCTCCAAAGAGGTCTTGACAGCTTCTACCAATGATAATGACTCAGCAAGTGAAGAATGTGAGGCAGAAGAGGAGGGCACCACCACTGGGGAACACTTCATGGTCGCCAATGAGAATGACCATGAAGGTTCTCCTTCCACCCCCCCTGCATCCTCTTTTTATGAAAGTGGAACCCCAGAAAACACCTCCAGCTCTGCTGAAGACACTCCCAATGCTGGTGTCTTTGTCAGAGGAGAAAACAATAATGAATTGGAATCCTATTCATCTTCCACAGAAAACACATATAATGTTTCTGTTTTAACCACAGAGGAACATGGATCTCCTCATTCTCCTGTCACTGATACCTCAGGAAGCACCAACATGGAGGGTGGCCATGGAGCAACTGGTGATAAAAACTTTGTTGTTGATAACAGTAGTCTCGTATCAGCCCCCACCAGCAATAGTCTACCTTCAGATGGCATAGCCAGCAATATTCTTCCTATCTCTAACAGCTCTTTCATCACAGAAGGCAAGACTGGTACCTCCCGTCCCAAAAACAAGATTCCATGCAAATGGCCAGGGTCTCAAAAACTACCTGGAGTGAACCTGGTGTCTTCATCTGGAACAGGCAGCCCAGTCACAGAAGAAGATGCTATCAGGAATGCTGGCACTTCATCCTACAGTAACGCTAAAAGTCCAGAACGCAACGCAGCAGGAAAAGTCAACCTTGACAGCAGAGCTCTTGGCCTCTCCTCTCATTTTGGGCTCTTCTCACTCACTCTTTTGTTAGCTGCCCTTATACCCTTAGTTTGTTAAGGCAAAGGGGAGAGTACGTTTGTTGAATTGAGACCAAGGGGTCTGGATTTTGTCCCAACCCTCTTCAAAAAGGAACTTGGGGGAAAAAATCCTCTTCAAAAAAGAACTTAGGTTCACATATCCACAGAGTTTGCAAAAGAGGAAGGGTGAAATTTGCAATTGAGGTGCTAAATTAACATTTGGCAAACTTCAGTTTTGTACAACAAAAAGTATGTATGTTTATATGTAAGTAGGAGAGAATGTACTGTACAAAAATGTATAAGGGAATGGTATTTTGCCCCCTTCTGTAAGGAACAGGATCGACATTCCAAATCTTTCACAAACCTTAGGCGATTTGACTCAAAGGGGAGAGGGCTGAATCTGGAACTTGGTGATGACGTTGGTTTCATTCAGATATTTCTGCATATGCACTGAAACAGCTTCTTTTCTAACCAAATCCACCCATTTGGATACTTCACTTTGGACACCCAAAATAGTGGTGCTTCCCAAATCCGTTCAGTTTTCCTGAATGAATGATTCAAATCTGATTTCACACAATTTGCACAAGCCTACAGCCCTTGATTAAAAGGCACACCTTCTGATAGATCTGCTGGCACTGGGAAGACCCCAGATTAAATCCTACTACTTTTTCTACTATTATGCTTCTGAATGTTGATGTTGGAGAAGACTCCTGAGAATCCCACGGAAACAAACCAATGGATCATAGAACAAACCAATCCAGAGTTCTCACTCAAGGCACAAGTGACCAGGCTCAAATGATCTTACTTTGGACCCAACATGCAAAGACCCAGCTCCCTTGAGAAATCCATAATGCTGGGAAAAGTGGAAGGAAACAAGAAGAGGATGACCAGCAGCCAGGTGGAGGGACTTGATTACAGCAGTGATGGGTACAGCAGTGACTGGAAGATTTGAAGGACCAGGTTGGAGACAGATCCTCCTGGAGACCACATGTATATGGTTGCTAAAAATCAACGCTGATTGAACACAATCAATCAATACTTTTACTAAATAATCACATAGCCAAAATGTGTAGCTTGGCTCTAAACAATGAGAAGTGTTATGAGGCTTGCCATGCTTGGGGAGTATGGGAGTTGTACTCCAACACATCAGAATGGGGGCGGGCTGAGAAAGTCTGCCTTAGTTCTTCTCCATGACTGAATGTAAGCCTCATAATAACATCTCTGGCATGTCCTTATTGCACCATACTCTTTTGCTCACCCTCAGTTGACTTTGGGCTGGTGTTGTCTCAAAAGGGGATAGATCTGAAGCTCAAAGAGATCTTTGCTCATAAAACCAATATCAATAAAGGTTTTAGAAAGGCAAATGGTGTTGGCTGGTTTGTTTTGTTTTAGTTTTTCTATTCCATTCCACTTCTCCAGATGGGACAATCCAAACTATACCTATAGTCACAAAGTGCTACTAACCACATCACAAATTTGTCCCAGCAATCTTCTTTTTCTGCCTTGTCCCCATAAAATTGCCTTTGTCCAAGAGCAGATCCAAGGCCAGAGATGCCAAGATGGGGGGGGGGTCAGGGGGGCAATGACAAAAACAGTACCCTGCCATCCCATCTCAAGCTCTTCCCTTTTATAGCATGTGATGTCACATATATGTACGAAAGGGGAGGAACATGCCTCATGATGGCAGGGCATTGCTTTTATCATTTGGACAAAACAATCAGATCCTGTAGACACCTCTGTTCATGGAGGGTAGAATCTGTTAGGCTTGGTCATCCATCACCTTAAAGAGAAATTAGGGGGCTAGCAGGGAGGGAGTAGAGAGGAAACCAAATCAGAATAGAGATTGGTGATGGGGACTCAAATCTCAGCTGCTGTAGTTTTCTGCCAATTCAATAATGGGTGGAGAACATTGTAACTTGGTAGTGGGGGAAGGTTGACCATGAAATTGCTCCTCTTCCCTCTCTCTGGCCAGATGCTGCAAATGGCTACATTTTCTGAGCTCAACCCCTTGTTCCCTGGCTTTCTGCCACACTAATATTCATCCCCTGAAAGTTTGGGACCATGATTTTGGGCTGGCCAGCCTGCTCCCTCTTAGACCTGAAACCCAACCCAATTCTAAGGCTTGGTAGTTTCCTCATCGGAGGACCTCCTGTTGTTTTGAATACTTAAAAAAAAAGATAGGATGGGACTTTGAAGATTGGACACTAAGGGAACCAGAAGGAACTAGATTACAATTAAAGGAGAACACTGAAACTTGACTTACAAACACAGAATGAAGCAAAATATTTTAACATTGGACATATTTTGAAGGGTATTTTTGAACAATGGACCCAGAAGTAAATTTTAAGAGTGTCTGCCTCTATAGATAGACTGTGTTTAAAAGATGTTATGGAAGAGGGACAATTTTTACCTGACAAGATTGAGATTGATTTGAAAGTGGATTTAAAAATGATAGGCTACAAGAATGACATGGAAAAAGATACTACACTGGATATACAAATAAAGCTGGCTGATGTCTTAATAATTAAAACGGATATACAAATAACAAACCAAGAGAGTGACCTGGATAATTTTCCTCTATTGAATTTACAAAAGAGAACTGTTAAAGTTTTGAAGAATCTCATGAGAAGGGACAAATGAAAAGAAATCAAGTTCTAGGACAGTTTTTGAAGGGACTAAAGATTGTTAGAAGTAAAAGGAAGGAATATAAAGTTGGTTTATTTGATCAAGGTTAAAAATAGATGGTATGTTGTTATCTCTGGTAACCCTTAACGGACTTTTGCTGATCAGGACTGAACAATGAGGCTTTAAGGATTTGTTTATAGATAAGAAATGGGATATGGAAAGAAGAGATCATTTGTTGTATTTTAAGAGAAGGTGGTAAGTTACTAAAATTGTTTACACTTGTGCTAAAGGGGGAAATCATGTCTTTATATATTTCATTTTCTTTACTATATTCTTATTTTTTCTTTTCTTTTTTCTATTTTTTCTTTTCTGTACCTTCTACTTTTTCTTTTTATTCTTTTTCTTTTTTTTTTAGCTTTATTAGTTTTTGTTGTTGACACTAATTTTTAATAAAATTCTTATTAAAAAAGGAATACTTTATGGTACCCAGGCATTTTTCATGGTTCCATGTATTTTTAAAAGTTTTTCTGTTAAGAAGTCCTTTACCTATAACTGTCATTGCATGGAAGATTATTTCCATGTATTAACAAGCCCTAAATACAGGGGTGTCCGCAAGAGGGTAGCCACCATCATGTGAGTGAAGCCCTGCCCCTTTTTGTCATGGCTGCCATCTTGTTTTTTTTTTTTATCCCATCTCTGTGGACACCCCTGCCTATGTACCTTGCTATTGTAAGAATAAGAAAAAAGGGTTGAGGAACAACCATATTGCCCAGAACTCAGATGAGACAGGTGGAGCAAAATTAGAAGGCTCTTTGCTCTGTCTTGACGAGGCTAATTTTATCCATGTTAACTAATTCTTGCAATCAGGCCCAGCGAGAAAGGGCAATTTGATTTTAAGAAACCCACTAGTATCAGTGGTGATTCTCTAGATTCCTGGTAGTGGAGAGGGGATTAAACACCTCCGCTCACACCTGTACTATATCGTTACTCCAGGTCACATACCTGCAATAATGCAGCTCAACATCCCGGCCCATCCCGGTGACTTCAGGACTTGGAATGTTCCTTGCGAGCCTAAAGGGCTGACTCAGAGAATCTAGAATGATGGAATCACAAGTTTGAAAGGGGGTGTTTCAGGCTCTTGACTCCAACGTCCTGCTGTTTGCAGGAATCCAAATCCAGCAGTCTCCAACAGATTGCTTGCCAGCCCCTCTTTGCCCATCAGTAGCCATGGGAAACTCTCTGCTTCTCCTACAAACCGGCCTTGGTATTGAATTATTCTTACTAGGAGCAAACACTGAGGAATAGACATCTGGGTATTCCCTTGCTGTAACATAAATCCACTTGTTCTGTTTCTCTGAAATTCTAAAGAGAATTTCTAAAATTCTCTGAAATTCTTCTTCCATGACACTTCCTTTCAGATAAAGAGTGTTATCCTATCACTCCTCCGTCTTCTCTTCTCAAGGCTAACCGTTCACCGTTTCTTCAGTATTTCTCTGTTGTGTTTCATCTTTTCCTTTTAGGATGTAGGATCTATTTCCCCACCTGGCATTTACAGTGGCGCTGAAAAGTTTGTGAACCCTTTTGCCACACACAAATATGTAGCTTTGGATGAGCATTTTCCTCAATAAATCAATGAACGAGTATAATGTTTTTGACTCATTTGTTGAATTGGGTTCTCTATATCTAGCGTTAGGACCAGTGTGGAGAACAGATTACATTTTAGGTCTTATTTATGCAGAAATATTGAAAATTCAAAAGGGTGCACAGACTTTTAAGCACCACCGTATACTGTCTTCTAGCACAGGGTTCCTCAACCTCAGCAACTTCAAGAGGGGTGGACTTCAACTCCCAGAATTCCCCAGCCAGCAGAATTCTGGGAGTTGAAGTTCACCCATCTTAAAGTTGCTGAGGTTGAGGAACCCTGTTCTAGCATGATCCAGCCCCCATTGTGCTGATACAGTAGTAATGAAGACATGCTTTAAGTCACTTCTGTGATGGCTGGGTGATGCTGTGATGATCCTGTAAGACCCTTATGAGACCCCGACCCTAACCCCAATCATCCTCACTGTCCTTCTCTAACCTGTTCCAGGATGTTTCAGTCCATCTTAAAGTATGGTGCCCAGAACATGACATCATACTCATAACATTCAAGGTGGGGTCTGCAACACAGCATGATTTGGAAACTACTTCTATTGATGGAGCCTAAAATTACATTTGAGGGGTTTTTTTTACAACCACATCACACTCCTGTCTCATATCCTGTGTGTAATCAATTACAACTGCAGGATCTTTCTCACTTCTGTTGCCAAGTCGTATTCTTTGTTCTGTGCTCTGTATTCAATCATTTTCCTAATGCCAAACTTTTAACCTGCCTCTGTTAAATTTCATTCAGTTATGTTCAACCCTTGTTTCCAACCTAACAAGATCATCTGAGTTTTATTTCTGTCTTCTGAGGTGTTAGCTATTTCACCTAATTTGGTGTCACATACAAATTTGATAAGCCTTCCCACCATCTCTCATCAAACCATTAACGAACGTACCCAAATCATTAAGGTTACAAGCAGCTGGAAGAGGGGTGTGTGTGAATGGCAGATAGTAGTGCCCCATAAACTTCTTGCCACTCAGTGGGTTCATGCAACATGTCCAACCGTGGCTTGTTTAATCATAGTTTTTAAAAAGTCCTCAGTTGGCTCACTTAACATGTCACCTGCAAACCATGATTTGCAAAATACGGTCTCTGGCTTCACAAATTACACTAAGCCATAAACGAGTGCAATTCAGGTGTTCTGAGTTACCAAGTGCAGTAAGTCCCAATACTTCTACTGTAACTGTGTGTGTAAAATATAGGCATGGAAGGACAGATCAAATTTAAGATCATTTCGTTACATTACATAAAGTTATCTTGCAAAGGAGTTCCAGGGTGGGGTGTGCAACTCCTTCACCCTTCCCCAGATGTTTCCTGTGCTCACAACAACCCTGTGAATGAGCAATGTTGATTTGTCTTTTTATTTATTTAGTTGGATGGGGCTCTATGGCATCCAGCATGGATAGATGGCCCTCCAGATCTTGTTATTTTATTTTATTTTATTTTATTTTATTTTATTTTATTTTATTTTATTAAAGCAATTTATATGGCTGCCCCACTCATGGTGACTCCGGGTGATTTACAGAAATTAAAACCCAAATAGAAGCCCACTACACGCCCACCCCCTGGTGATAATACCTTCAGACAAACTACTTGATGGGTTCTATATCAATCTGGGATCCCCGGGCCCGCTGGCAAAAAACCATGTCTTCAGGGCCTTTTGGAAGAGTATCAAGGTGGAAGGGGGTCTTATCTCTGCAGGGATGAGGTTCCACAGAGAGGGAGCCACCACAGAGAAGGCCCTTCTTCTCGGCCCCACTAGATGGACCTCCTTAATGGGGGGCGGGGGGGGACCCGTAACATACCCTGTCTTCCTAATCTGGTGGGTTAGGCAGATGAAACTGGGAAAAAACGGTCCTTCAAATAACCATTAAATTACACTCCCACCATCCATTGCAATTCTTGGCTGAGGCAGCTGGAATTTGTAGGTCTGGAACATCAGAAGCAGCCTGGGTTTTTCCCCTCCCCTGATGAAATGTAGCAAGAATGCTTTCCAAAACAAAAGGGAAAAAAAGAAAGAAAGGATGAGGAAAAGAATGGACCATAGGGTTAAAGATATGGGCATCCTTTGTAGATTTGGATCCTTCCTTCCTTCCTTCCTTCCTTCCTTCCTTCCTTCCTTCCTTCCTTCCTTCTCCATTGCTGTCCTACTTACAATACCATCAGATTCTTCTGCCAGATGTCTGGCTGGTGGCAAGGAGATCCTGCAACCCCCTTCCGGGTGGGGTCCATTAAGGCCAAACTGACTCAGCGTGACTGAAATTCTGAGAAGAAAGGGGTCAGGTTGGGGGGAGTGTTAACATATTGGGGAAGAAGAAACTTAACCAAGCTAAACAAGCACTTCCATTTATTCTTCTATTCAAGGAATTTAATCCAACTATAACACTTCTGGTATTTATTTTGGTGAAAGGAAGTATTAAAATGTGTTAGAAGGAAGGAGAGAAGGAAACATGTCATGCTGGATGGATTCCAACCAATTGTTTTATTACTGTATATGGGTTTGAACACGTGGCTCTTCGGAAGTTGCTAAATTACAATTCTCAGCATTCTTCACCACCACTGGCTACGCTAAAAAACGTTGCATTACATCAAGAAGCTAAAAGCTCATCCCAAATTTTTACAAGAGGAATAGAAAATCTGGGGACATCCAGATGTGTAGGAATACAATCCCACAATTCCTTTCCGCTGAATCTTCTGGTCAGGGTTGCTAAGAATGGAAGGTCAAAACATCTGGACACCATCAGGCTGTTGATTTCACAAGTTCCCAGTCTAACCCATCTTGTCCTGAGAGCCAATGGGAATCTAGAACTGCAAAAAGGGATCCTTTGGCCTAGAAAGAAAGTCTCACCAGAGTTAAATGTTTCCATTTTGTTCCCTGCACAAATGTTTTTCTTGGATGGCATTTTTTTCTTCCCTATGACAATCCCATGGCAAACTTCGACTTTAAGGCTGTTAATGTTCAGTTGTTTTACTGTTTTTTATGCAATGCTTGATGGTTTATTTCCTCCAATTGTTAGTTTTAACAATAAGATACTCCACAAGAAGCTCACGAGAAAAATCATTGGCCTGAGAGATGTAAAAATAAAAATAAAAAGCATCACGTGCTATAAACAAAAAATAAATATGTCTTATGAAATATTGATGTGGAAGAAGTGAAACAAAATGTTCAACTCCATTATGGGATGTCATCCAGTCTTGCATTCTATGAGGTAAGTGGGGGGGGTGTATTGCAAATATAGCAATATATGAAAAATGCTAAGATCACTTCCCCCATTCTTCAGGCCAATAGAGTTTGAATCACAGCTGACTCAAGTCTTCCTTTTAGCTAGTCCGAATTCCAAAATGTAACCACAGACTCTGAGGTTTAAACCAAAATATTCTTTACAGACTTCAGAAAAAGTTGTACAGGCCCCTATTCTTTCCAACAACAGCTTTTGTAAAGGGCTGGATAAATAAATATCTTTTGGACCCTTCCTGAACTATAGCAGGGATCCATCCCCCGTCAGTCTCAAGTTCACAATTGTTTTTTTAAAGGATATTAATGGACAACTTAAGCCAGTGTTGTCCAAACCTGGCCACTTTAAGATGAGTGGACTTCAACTCCCAGAA